CTAGGAGAATGGGGAGGAGGCTTAGCCCCAAGCCCAGGAAAACAGCCAAAGAGAAGGTAAACCCCAAGCCAATTCACCCTGCAGGGAGGTAGCAGAGAATCACGGCTGTCTCCCTGCTCTTGGAAACTCTCCCCAAGGATGTCTCCCCATGAGCAAATCCCTCTGGCATGAAAGGTCCATTTGCATCAAACTGATTCCTTCCCATGTAACAATACACCAGGGATAGTCTTTTCTGCCCAGCACCCAATGCAACGGGGGCATGGTCCATGATTAGGGTTCCTAGGTGCTACCAATGCAAACAATGAACAACCCAAGCCCTGATTAATGCCAACGAAAAAGTTCCACACAGGGATTTAGAGTCACAGATTCTAAGGCCAGAAGGGCTGAAGGTGAGTGCCTTGAGCTGAATGAGGATATTGATGTATCCGTATCACAGAAACCTGAGGAACTGATAACCAATGGGACATGGTGTAACCAGGAAACACAGGAATAACAGTAGGTTGTGCTGGTGGGACAATGCTCCCCCTATCCTTTTCCATCCATGTGCAGAATAAATTTATTCTGCACCAAGGCATGTGTGGACGTACACCACCAGTAGATATAAAAAACCCAGCTGTGGGCTCTCTACTCATCTGCTGGGTGGCCTTTAATCTCTCCTGAGTGGGCACATGAGCACACAGCTTATAGAGAACACTACTGGTGGAAGAGTGGCACTATGTGTGATAGAAACAAAGTACAAGTTTTAAATTAATCAACTGTACCACAGAATCTCTAGGAATAGAAATTCCATACTTGAGTGACACAGGAATAGCAGTAAAAATCTACTACTGACCACCTGACCAGGAGGGTGACAGTGACTGAAATTCTCAGGGAGATTAGAGACAATAAAAACAGAACTACACCCATACTAACTGGGAATACAGGCAGTCCCTGGGTTACGTACAAGATAGGGACTGTAGGTTTGTTCTTAAGTTGAATCGGTATGTAAGTCGGAACTGGCCTCCAGATTCAGCCGCTGCTGAAACTGATCAGTTTCAACAGCGGCTGAATCTGGACACCAGTTCTGACTTACATACAGATTCAACTTAAGAACCCCAGGCATCCCCAAGTCAGCTGCTGCTGAAACTGATCAGCAGCTGATTCCAGGAAGCCCGAGGCAGAGCAACTCGGCCTCGGGCTTCCTGTAGTCAGCCCCTGGTCAGTTTCAGCAGCAGCGGCTGAATCTGGAGCCAGGTCCGAGTTACGTACAAATTCAACTTAAGATC